GTCCCTGATGGAATTCACCTCGAGTAGGGTTGTGGACCTTTCAATGCTCGGGAGAGATAGGGACTCTTGTATTACTGATTTTTTCCTGCACTTCTTCTTCGTACTCGCGAGCTTTGAAAGTATGTGGGCCCGTGTTTTGTTCGCGTGGTACGTGTGTAATTTCTACTCGGTCAAACTTTTTCATATGTTCTTTGACCAAGTTTAAATATTCAATGAGGTTGTTGTTCTTATCCTGGTATCCTCCTTGAACTTGCGACGCGACGAGTTGGGAATCAAAGAAAATATGTATCTCTCGAGCGTCCAAATCCTCGGCCAGTCTTAGACCTGCGAGCAGAGCTTCATATTCTGCCTGATTGTTTGAGTTCAAAAAGGAGAGAATGAGCGAGTTTTCGATCACGACGCCGACCTCGTTTTTAAGGAGGATTCCTGCTCCACTCCCAGTCGAGCTGGAGGCTCCATCCACAAAGATGGTACACCTGTGCTCCTTCCCTGCGGGGGGGGGGGGGGGGGGGTGCGGTCATCTCGGCGACGAAGTCGGCCAGAGCTTGGGCCTTTAGAGCCTTCCGGCTTTCGTACTGGATTTCGAATCCCGAGAGTTCTAAGGACCACTTTAGCATTCATCCTATCGTGTGTGGTCGACCTAATAGCTTCCTCACAGGCTGGTCTGTTCATACGACGATCGTGTGCATGAGAAAATAGTGTCTGAGCCTTCTCGCAGCATTGACGAGGGGCAAAGCCACCTTCTCGATATGTTGGTATCTGACCTCGGGCCCTTGGAGCGCTTTTCTCATGAAATACATAAGTTTTTGACCGTCAGATGTCTCGTGAATGAGGGTCGCACTAACAACTTCGACGTAGACGACCAATTATGGAAATAACGTCTCCCCGTCCAGTGGTCGTGATAGAACGGGCAGCTGTGAAAGGCTCTGTTTGATATGGAGGAGGGCTTGTTCAGACTCCTCAATCCATTCGAAAGCTACCTCCTTGCGCAAGAGTTTGAAAAATGGTAGGGTGTGTTAAGCGGATTTCACGACGAAACGGGAGAGCGAAGCGAGCATACCATTCAGAACTTGAATGGATTTTTTTGAATTAGGTGTAGGGAGGTCGGAGAACGCCCGACACTTGTCGGGGTTGGTTTCAATTCCTCGTTTTGTTAGGTAAAACCCGAGGAATTTGCCCGCCTTGACCCCGAAGGTGCACTTTTCGGGGTTGAACCTCATTCTACATTGTCTTGCTTGGGCGAAGACTTTTCTGAGGTGAGCAGCATGGTCGATGTCTGCTCGAGATTTAACGATCATGTCGTCCATGATACCTCGAGCATATCTCTGATCTCGTTGTGGAAGACTTTGTTCATCATTCGTTGGTATGTTACTCCGGCGTTTTTCAGACCAAAGGGCATTATGTTGTAGTAATAATTGTCCGAGCTGGTCATGAATGCAGTGCAGTATTTTTCGTTCATTGCCATTAGGATTTGGTTATAGCCGACCAAGTTATCGACCAGCATATCAATATTAGGCAAAGTAAATGCATCTTTGGAGCATGCCCGGTTAAGATCAGTATAGTCAACACACATACACCATTTTCCATTACTTTTCTTAACGAGTACAACATTAGACAGCCAGGTTAAATACCGGGCTTCTGAAATGAAATTTGCCTCTAGGAGGTCTTTTACATCTTTTTCAGCAGGCTCCGTTTTCTTGAGGGACTGCCTACGCCTACGTTGTACTACTGCCCTAGCGGTTGGATTAATGGCGATTTGATGACAAGCGACCTCGGGGTCGAGTACAGGCATCTCCGCGGTGCTCCATGCGAACAAATCTACATTCTCCTTCAAGCAGGCCTTGATCTGCTTCCTCGCCAAGTCGGAGAGTTCGGTGCCAATCTTCACCCCTTTGTTCGGGTCTTCGCCGAGAGGGACGAGCTTGAAGTCCCCATCCAGAATTGGCCAGAGGAGCTCCTGCTCGCTGTTGGAGGATTCGTCTTGGTCGAAGCGAGTGTCCAACGAGATCGAGTCGACCTTTGGAGGAGCTGTCTACACTTCTGCCTTGACGGGTTATGGCTATGACTGATGTGGCTCTGGTCGCGCTGTTGCAGCTTTCTTGGCGGGTCGTGCCCCAGTGTTGAATGTGCTTTATCCCTTAGCCGCCGCATTAAAGCATCTTCAAGCAGCTGCTAGCGAGGGTCTCGGGGTTTGTCGTCCTTTCTCTTCTCTCCAGTTCGTCGAGGAGGGTTAGTGTCTTATCGCGAATTGCTGATTTATCTGCGGTTCCCGGGGTCCCGGGCTCTGTTGGCCGCTTCCCTCTCCTCGTAATCCATGTAGGCTCTGGCTTTCTCGAGGAGGGCATCGAATGTCTGGGGCGGTTCGATGCCTACGACCTTTTTGAATTTTGTGCCTGGGAGGAGTCCCCTCTCGACCAGGTATCTCTTCATGTGATTGGTACAGGGGACCTGAATGGCCTCCCGATTGAACCGATCAATAAATTCCCTCAGGGTCTCGTCGTGTCTCTCGACGATAGCCTTAAGGGTTGCTTCGATCTTTGGGTGCCGTCGCGAAGCAGTGAACGAATTGATGAATTGGTTCTTTAAATTTTGCTAGGAGGTAATTGACCTCGAGGCGAGACTTTTGTACTAGTCCATCGCAACTTTCCTCAAAGTCGTGGGGAACAACCGACATTTGATTGGTTCCCCCAATATTGTGATAATGCAGCATGGACTCGAACCCGTCTATATGGTCGACCGGGTCGGCGTCGTATTCCTTCAAGTGGGGAGGCTTCTCCATGCCCGGGGGGATGGGTGCCTCCATAATGGATTGTGATAAGGGACCGCGGGGGTCGCCTTCGTCACTCCTGTCGAGCGAGCGAAAAGAGGATTTGATGTAATGGCGATTATGGTGGCCCTGGTCGCACGGAGCGTTCCTCGGGAGATATGGTCGTTCGTTGTTTTCCCCGTTCCTGTCTCCAGGGGGTCTTCGTTCTTGACGCGAGGGGGCGTGATCGCGTCTCCCCGTGTCAACGGGCTGGTCCCTTTCCAATGCGGGGCATCGCCCAATTGGTCGGGAGAAGGACTTCGAGAGACGTCCCGACTACGTCTTCGCGGGAGAGATCGGAGACGTTCCTCTACTTGGCGATGAGGAGACTGGGGCCTCCTGTGTCTTCTGGAGACTCTTCGAGTATCTTCGAGAGCCCTCAATCTCTCTCCTTGAGAAAAGATCAAGTAGTTAGTCTGATTTATCGCCGCAAACAGTGCCCTGGTTGTGGCGTCTGCTCCGGCGGGAACGAGGACCTCATGGAACTGAATGGGTTGGTAGTTCTAGGAAGTTGGTTGATCGTCTTCGAGTCGTGGAGGTATCGATGATGACGAGGCAGTTGCTCTGTCTCTATAATCAGAAGGCCCGGGCATATTAATGGTGGGCACCGTGTTGTGGCTGGCAGTACCAGCATTGTTGAGGCCGGCATTATTGTCGATGACATTGTTGTTGACGTCGACGATACAGACGTTCATGTTTTCTGCAGTTTGATCAGCCATGACAGTCAGGGTGATTTAGCTTTAGTCTCCAGTAAACGGAAGATGGGGAAGCAAGTTTCTCACAAACGACGTCACTGATCTTACCGAATCAGAATGGACCGTCACAGTTGACTCGGGCAGAAGTTGGATGAGATGGAGGAATACCTGCAAGGCACTTTGATGGAAAAATAAGTTGCGGAATGAACAAACAAGCGTAAGAGTTAGAAAGTGTTTAATACCTGACCCTCTCAGAAGATACAATATTTATAGCCCCCAACGCTAGACCAAGGTTCTCATTATTAGGCCACGTTGAGGCCCAATAACGAAACTGCCAGGGCTTACGTGTGTATAGAGTCCAACAAGTGGATTCCCTCCTGGTCAACTGCTCCGCGAGAATAGGGGTTGGACCCGTGATTTTTGAAGGGCAGTTAAGATGACTAACATGAGGATGTGGACCACATTCCCCAACAGATATGTGGGGAGTTGTCCAACGGTCCCTAACTTGAGTTGTCTGTTTAGACCTTATGCAAAAGTATTGGTTTGGACTTCCTATCCGCGGGACAAGTGTAAGTCCAATCCAGATCACTATCCATACTAAAACAAAAATATTCCCTCTTCTCTTTCCTCTCTCCCATCTCAACTGACCTGTGACCCCGATCACCCTTTTTGGTCCAACCTCTCCGAGCATTGTGACGTATATGACAGACATTAAAAAATTAATCTTCAAAGAAAATTAATATTTTTATTAACACTCAATTAAATGGTTTCTAATGATTTAACCTGACACCGACCTCCCAATATTTACATAATACTAAATATGTCTTGATAAAAAAAATGGTTGAATGAAATTTGATTAGAATATTTTTTAACTCTTTTAATAATTAACTATCAAAAATATGGTATGCAGTGTCCTTCATTTTTTACATCATTGAAATAATGTCTATGTCATGTTTGCGTGATAGTGATAGCTTTCCACAACGTCTTTTACATCCAATTTCTTACGTTGTGAATGGATGATGAGCTTCACATGCTGCTACTGCAAATGCTCAAGGCTTACTGAATTCAGCAACCATGATACGCATGACTATATAGAGTAGTAGTATTATAAAAACCTCACTAACGTTTAGTAAAACACAATCCCCTGTAAGATTCAGAACTCGACAAACAAGAAAAATCCAAAACTAAAAACAGATTCCGCCTGTATGTTACATGAAACCCTATAAGGAGGCCTAGCTGGTCACAATAACACAACTCGGCTAGATAAATATTCATATTCAATGAAGGGGTATTATTACCAGGATGACAATCAACCAGGCATCCTCCGCGCTAGTTTTGACACATGCTTACACTCACTTTTTCCCCTTTTCTAGTTCAATGTTATCATTACAACTTCAACAACAAAGAGAAAGATGTTGTTAATCTCATAATATAAGAACAAAGAATGTTATAAAATACAAAAAGTGCCTTCCTTTCCTAAACGTTGTTCAAAACACAATTTATTCAGACAAGAAAACTCTTCTACTTGTATTTAAAGGATGCGCAGCTGCAGCAATTTTCTCCCGGAGCTTGAACTTTTTTGCAATTTGGGGTCGGACATCATCAACTCCTACCAAACTCTCCAAGAAAGGGAGCAATAAAAGCAATTCTCTATCTGAAGGATCATCAAACCAACTCTCAATCGGTATTCCATTGTCCACTTGGAACCCAAATGCCTGGAACAAAAAAGAAAAAAAACAGCCTAAAGTATCAAGAGCTATGTCTGGTCATTTATGTTAAGCCAAATTATAAAATTGTACAGGTCATAGCCACAATGGCTCAGCCGACCAAGTTACTAGTTTGGCCACTAAACTAGCCAACACGAACTGGCTTTGCAGGTTCTCATACATTTCAGGTCAATTTTGACTGGACAGGCTATGTAAATGTTTCTCAATCTGACTAGCTAGCATGAGTCCATTTTTATAACACTAACCAAGATAAGTGAAGAGTTCAAAAATCTGATAAAGATATAGATAGTTCAAATTTGATAAAGACGAAACATCAAGATTTGTTCAGTTAAACACAAATCAACAAGAGGCTCTCAAAAAATAACTAAAAGGGTAATGCAAAACACACTCTTTATAATTGTTTTATTTCAAAAATAAATAAATCAGTTACCACATAAGTTGATATGAGAAGGGGTGGACTTAGTCCCAAATTGCCAAAAGATTTGGCTGTTTATAAAGCTTGGGCAACCCTCAACTTACAAGCCGGCTTTGTAAAGTTGAGTTAGGCCCAACCCAAATTCTAAGACATAACTAAAGTTGAGGCTGTTTAAAACAAAGTCAAAGTTGTAGGTATCTATTTGTAAAAGCATATAGTTGGTTGAGGTATCCAAGTAATTTTTCCCATTACAAAGTAGTATTTAGAGAATAATTGGCTCGGGTATTCAGCAAGGTATACATACACCAAATGATTATTTTGGGGAAGGGGAGGGAGGTTCCAATTGTAACTATTAGGGCAGCATGTTACAACTGTGAGCCATAATGAGCATAATAAGCCAAAAATGTACAATACAGTAAACAAACCTGAGGGGAGTCGTCAATTATTATAACAAGTGCTAAATCACGACAGACAAAGTTGTAGGTATCTATTTGTAAAAGCATAAAGTTGGTTGTGGTATCTAAATAATTTCTCCCATTACAAAGTAATGTTTAAAGAGTAAACGGCTCGGGTATTCAGTAAGGTTTAACAAGACACCAAATGATTATTTAGGGGCAGGGGAGGGAGGTTCCAGATGCAACTATTAGGGCGTCATGTTACAACTGTCAGCCATAATGAATGAAATAACAATCTCAAAGTCAAAATGTACAATATAATAAACATACCTGTGGGGAGTTGTCGATTATTATAACATGTGCTAAATCACGACCAAGCACTGTTAAATCTTTGAGGTAATTCCCCTCCACATAAACACAGGATTCACGAAATACACGATGGCGAAATATCTTCCGCTTGGGATCAAGCACATTTAGGAGTTGCTCAGCATAGATACTTTGACTGGCTGTAAATATAATAATTTCAAAAAGACCAGAAACTCTCTCAAGGAAATCTTTTAGGTGAGGACGGCAACGTACATAGACATTGTGCTCCTCACAGTTAAAATTCACAGTGAAAGTAAAATCTATATCCTCGCAAGGTTCTAGGGTAGAGTGCACCAAAGTTTCTGCATAGAGTAAAATCCCATGAACAAAGCATTAAAATTAGCAGTTCAGCCAAAAGTTTGTGCAAGAGAAAAGGAAAATAGAAGATCCAAACAGGAAGAAAGGATAAATACATTTACCACTTAATAAAATAAAAATAAAAAAACATGTTTACTGTCAAGCAAGCATTTTCACAGTTAGATAGCTTCAGAATACAAGATCACTTTAATTAAATGCAGACCAATTGTGTGCGGAAAGGTGGTTTTCAGGTTTTGCATTAGTCTAGAATTCACAACCAAAAATTATACAAGGCAGCAACCTTGAGAAACCTTGATGACTTGAAGTTAAAGCATCTAATTAGCAACTTAAAATAGGGATATGACTTTCTTACCGTCCAAGTCCAGAACAAGAGTAATAGGAGGGCAGCTTCGAGTCTGCTTAGGTAGCAACATTCGTCTAAAAGTGGGAACAACCCTTGATAAGTCTGGTAAAGTCTTTATGAATAGGTAAGGGTCAAAATCGTCAAAATCCTCAAATTCATCATCTTCTGGGCACATATCAGATGATACAGAGTCCTGACCATGCTCATCAATACATTCCAGCTTTGAGTTTTTCATGGCAAGATATATGGAAGGAACTTCCACGGAAAGACCATTTCCATCAAAATCTGAACTGCAACCATTGACAGTTTGTGTGCTTATAGCAAGCACGTTTGATGAATTGTTTATATCTACTTCCATGGCAGAGTCAAAATCTTGACTAACATGGTCATCTCCTGCATCCTCCTGGGATAACTGTGTTACTTGGTCGAGAGAAATTCTTTTTTGATCCTCACACCGAAATATTTGGACAAAATCAACTACATAGAAATAAAAGAAAAGGATGAAAATTTAACAATGAAAAATTTAGGCTGAAAAATATTTTTTTGCCTTTTACCAAATATTTTGTTTGGTCCTAAATATTTTATATTTGTTGTAGTTCTCTATATTTCTTAAATGCAAAAAGATAAAGGACTAAAACAAATCAACTAAGAAAATGGAGGACCAAAAAAAATATTCAATAAAAGATAAAGGACAAAAAACATATCAAAGACAAAACATTTACATACCCTATTAAAATTAGGAAGGACCAAAACAAAATATTCAACCAAAAGATAAAGAACAAAAAACATATCAAAGCGAAACATTTAAATATCATGTTAAAATTAGGAAGATTGTGGGGACAACCAGAAAAAAGGTTATATTTACCTCTGTCAGCAACCTTTCCTCCAGCACCTTTAGATAAGTGAAACCCAGGAGAGAATATAGTTCCAGTCTCCAGAGGCAGAGCTTGCTTGTTACAACCCTGAAACAATAATGTAAATGTTTAGAAGAAAAGGCATCAAAGAGAATATCCTTCATTTTATATAGTGAATCCCTTCAAATTGACATTTGATTTTCAGAAAGCATTTAATAAACATGCTTGTGTGTGTCTGAACCTTCTTAAAATCACTACACTTAAGAGATAGATAAAAAGTTGTTCTGCCTTGAAAATTAGTTCTTGCGTATTTGGTAAAAGATCCGATAAACAGCTTTAAAACAAAAGAGAAACATATGGAGTAGCCTGCAAGCGCATAAAGAGAAACTGTATTTTATTTTATTTTGAAATTAGAGAAACAGTAGGTCTAACACATGAGTAGAGAGTTGGTCTAGTTAAATTACCTCAAAATCTACTGAAGCACCGTCAACTGCTTCATTTCCCAGATTAGTATTGGAAATTCCCTTGCCCACAGTGTTGTTCTCGTTATCCAAAAGAGTTATGGGCATTGGTTCTATAGCTTTATTCTCAAAACCGCAAGCTGATGTTACAGCAAGATGACAAGTAAAACAAGTTGATCAACCATTATATTTCAATTGCTTGACAAAACATTTTTTTGAACATAATAAAGGCATGCAGAAAATTTTGTAATTGTTAGTGCCATAGGAAGTATCAGCATGGTTTAGCCTCATAATGGCAGAAATTACTAATTAAGATAAGAAAAGAGTATAAAGTTACTCACATATAAGCAAAACACCAACCAATATATACATGTAAAAACAGAAACAACTACTACGGATAACTTACCAGGTTTAATCTTTCTTGCAGAAGATGTAATTAAATCCGCCACTTTTTTTTCAACCACCTGGCCATTTTCAGAGACCTTCTTCTGCGCTCTTGGAGCCCTAGGAGAAACGCACTCTCGGCTACCATTACGCCTGGAGGCTTTTTTCTTGGTTTGCATGTCTACTTCCAGTTATGTCACACAATCTGACCGACTTTAGTGGGAGTAATCAAAGAGCAAACAAAGTTCCAGAACAATTATCCTAATAAGATGCATCCAGGAACATAGTTTTAGTGATCCTTTCCAATCAGTGACAAACTAGTACAAACTAAGTTAAAAATCTAAAACTCAACAGAAAAAATGTATACATCACCAAGGAGAATGAATCACTTCATTAAGCCATATTTTTTCATGATGTACAAAACTGAGATTTACTTTCATAAATATTTATATTTTCAAAATTCTAACATACAAGTTCAAACTGATAAAAACTCTAAAACCACAAAGAATCGACCATCCCACACCAATTACAATTACAGCATTCAAAATTCAAACACAAAACCCTAAAACTACAACATACCCATGAAGATAACATATAATTAATAAACTAATACACACAATTATAAGCTAAACGAACAAGATTCAGAAGAAATCAACGATACCTGATGCGAAAATCAAAATCGAAAAGCTCTCGCAGCAAGAATCGCATTCGGAACAACTTTACTTTCAACAAGAAAAGATAAGTAAAAAACACTAGCGGAACGAAAAATGCTACAGAATCAGTTCGGAGAAAATAAGCTGAAAAAATAGAATAATCAAAACCCTAGATTAGTTTACTGAAAGCAGAGTACAAAATTTTCGATGTTTTCCCTCCAATGAGACGGTGAGAGGGAAAACGAAAACAAATGATGAAAAAAATATTTTATCAAAATAAGCGATGATGAGACTGAATTTATATTTATTTACTTATTTTGTTTTAAAATGTTTATTATTTATTTTTATGGTTTGTTATTGTCCACCGAAATTTGGAATGGGTTTTTCTAACACGTATGAAACATACACGCGAGGGTGTTCGTGGAGTGTTACCCGCTCATGTGAACGGGCACGTGTCCAAATCACCAGCATATTTTGCCCGTTGTAAGGGAGTGAGATTCACGGAATCACGGGTCATAATAACCTTCCTCACTTTGTGTGTGAGTTTTGAATTTTGAAATTCAATCAGAATTTCAAGTTTTCAAAAAAACAAAAACAACAACAATCAAAAAGAAAAAGAAAAATTAAGTAGGTGTAAGTTGGATGAAGTAGCTATGATAAGTATATGTAGAAGGGAGCAACACACTTACCATAAGCAAATTAGTGTTACACCAACGACTAATATAAAAGATTAAAGATAAATGAATTAAAACTCCACTATTACAAGCCATAAGTATATATATAATACTATGTTCATTTTACCTAAACCTTAATTCTCCAGTTATTCACAAGATATTGCTATCTCTATTTATAATAATTTCTACAAAGTAAAATATTCATTTTAGTCCTTTAATTATAGGTTATAGTTCACTTTAGTCTTTTATCTTTTTTTTTTTTGTTAAATTGGGCCCTTAAGTCTCAAAACGCAATCACATTAGTCCTTCTGTTAGTGAAACATTAGTTAAATACAAAAAACAAACTCCATATAGCATTTGTCATGCTTGAAGTGGCTTGTTAGTGGTAACGTGTCAGAGAATAAGGACATACAATCTCCCAAAGCTCAAGATAGCATATGCATGTTCAATTTGTCCAAAACGAAAGCCAAAGGAAAGAGAAAGAGGCTTGTGAATAGGCTTATGAAGCTTGAGAAAGTGATTTCGAAGGTGATTGCTTTCTAGGTAACTATTCTCATACTCGTTGGATATTGATATTTAGGGATTTAGGGATTTAGATATGTTATTCTTGTTTTGTCTTCGTAAGTGAATATTTGTAATGGAATTTATGAGATTTAGGTTTAATGGGTGAATTTCTGAAACTCGTAATCCACCACAGTGGTGAGTTTGTTGATCTAGAGCTTAGTGTCTATGAAGGAGGCCTGTATATGAATTGTCAGTAAATGTTGATAGGTGGAGTTACTTCGAGTTAGTTTGTGCATTGAAAGACTTAGGTTATACGGATAATATAGAGAAAATGTATTACAAAGACCCATAATTTGGGATGAATGAACTAGTTGATGACAGAGATGCTCTAGAAATTGCAAACTTATACAGAGTGCATCATATTGTTCATGTTTACATTTAACACAGTTTGTCTCAACCTGAGTGTTATGATGGTCCTGTTGAGGAGCCTGAGAACATTGTAGATGAGATGGAGGAGTTGCTTAGCAAGTTGCATGACGATATTGAAGGAAAGTTAAAGGAGTCTGTTGTTGGTGTGGATAAAGTTAATGATAGATTGAATGATCCAAGTGTTATTGTGGAACAAGGTAATGTTGGATTGAGTGATGCAAATGTACGGGTGGAAGCAACAAATGTTGAAGTGGAGCCAGATACTGATGGTCAGGTGCACAATGAATCCAATTCTGATGACAGTGAGGATGAGAGTTACTAGTACGATAGTGCCCTAGAAGTAGCCTTTGACGATGAATCTGATGGTTATGAGGGTATTGATGAAAATGAAATTGTAGACCTGACTATGTATGACAGTAATGAAATATCAAAAGGAAAAAGAAAAGGAAAAGAAGAGTGCAGCAAAGATACAAAGGAATATAAGGGGAGTGACAATGACAGTGAGGATCTTCAAAGTGGTTGTGAAAGTGATAACAATAGTGGGGTTAAAAGGAATAAATACCCAATTTTTAAAGAGATAAAAGATATGGCCAATTATAAATGGGAATTAGGAATGTATTTTACTTCAAAGGATGATATTAAGGAAGCAATTGTCTCATATGATAAGAAAAGGGTGAGGGTGAGATGTAAGGAAGGTTGTGAGTGAGGGGGTTTATTTTGCCAAGTTATTAAATGAGGAAACCTGGCAAATAAGGAAAGTAATTGAAAATCATAATTGCAGTAGGGAGTATAATGTGAGGATGTTAAGCACAAAGTGGTTGAGCAAGATGATTCATAATGCATTGAAAAATAACCCTAGGTTGAAGGTTCAGGACACTAAAGAAAAGACATTGAGGAAGTGGAATGTAGGTGTAATCAAGACTAAAGCAATAAGAGCAAGAGTGACTGCAAGGAATGGGATTAATGGTTCCTTTTTGGATGATTACACTAGGATATATGACTATTTTCATGAACTGCTAAGAGTCAATCCAGGATCAACAGTTAAGATGAATGTTGAACCTGCTTCAGAAGGTGCTGATGATCATAGACCATTTTTTAAAAGGCTTTACATATGCTATGAAGGATGCAAGGAGAGTTTCAAATTATATAGGTATTTACCGTGGTTTTTGATAAACAACCGATGATCCTCCAAAAAGGAAAGCCCTTTTGGTTACTCGCGGGATCGATCAGATTGATCCTAGAACATATGCTAATTTGTGTGCTGGTTTGATATAAAAGTTAATATCTAGGAAGACCACACGTTCGACCGGGGAGTTGGTGTTTGTGGTTTTGGAAAGCAAATAGAAATGCAGATAAAATGCAGGAAACGTAAACTTTGCAAAAGAAGATCAAAGCAATGTAAAAGATTTGATTAATAAAAGGTGGTGTTTCCAACGTACATTATAAGTTATTCTTTCACACGCAACGAGTACTTGAATAATGTTGAGTGACTAGTACAATAGATTGAACACACGGAAAATCTACATAAACTTCCTATCTTTATACTAAAATTATGTAACTGTCGAGGGGTTGCCTTGCTCTAGGATGAAGACAAGTGTCCTCTGCATGCCCCTCGACCTTTATCTTCATGCCACGTTGCTTTCCCTTAACTGTTAGGCGAACTGCATTTCCCTCCCTTCTTCAAATTCAAATATCCTTCGTCTTTGATGCTGACACGAGGGTTATTCTTCTAGTCGAAGGCCACATGACCTTTTCAGTCGAAGGCTTGATGGCGATGTCTGGTCGAAGACCAATTTGTAACTCAGATATTTCTCTAAGTTTTTCCATCCGTTGAAGCATTTTCCAGCTTGGCTTCATTTGCTCTATATTTGGCCCATAAGGCCAATTTATCGTGGGTGTCAAATTTAAGAGCCAACAAATTTCCCCCCAAGAATATCTATTTCGACGTCGAGAGAAATAGTCATTCTTTGATATTCCTATTCGACACCTGTCTCTTTTTTGATATAGCAGTAATTACCGGTCTTCGACTGACTGGTGATTACTTTGACCCAGAAGATTTATCTAAGGATGCCATTGGGAGCGAGACATGGGGTTCTTCCCCTTGTAGTTGCTTGATATATGAGCCACTTTATTCGTTGTAGTAGTCTGGAACTCTTTCCTATAAGCCAAAGAAGAGCCCCTTGGCACATCAAACGTTCGCCATTTTTCTTTATTGGGCCTTTTTCTGCCCACTGTATTGAGCCAAGTATCCACATGTACATTAGTTGGAGGCCGAAAAGTTGGTGGCCTCCTCACTTGGTTCATGGGTCCCTTTTGATATCCACTCATGGGATCATATCTAACTTCTGGATCCATATTTGGATGAGCATTGGTGCCCCATTTTTCCTTCACTGCTCTCACACCTTATATGTGCTCCGCAACCTTCTTGTCGAAAATGGAACTGCATTTGGAACACAGCATCACTTCAGACTTTTTCTTCTGGCATCAATGTAAAAATTCTGCCAGATTCTTGTTTTCTTTTGGAAATGTTGTCTTGTTCACTTCCTCTTGTCGAATGGCCTCTTCCAAAGCCTTGGCCTCAGATACCCCGACCATGTTTACCTCCATGTTGCTCTTGGCAACGAGGTTCAGTTTTTGCATTTGGCTTCCAAATTTTCTGTCGAACCCTTGACGACAGCCAGGTAAGAACCTGTAGTGGTCCTCTTGTTTGAGCTTTCAGCAGCTCCTTTGTTTGAGCTTTCAGTAGCTCTTTTGCTTGAGCCTTCAGTAGCTCCTTTGTTCAGGCCTTCAGTAGCCTTCCTCACTCCTTCGACAGTTTTCCTAGATATGTTTCCATTAAAACTGCCAAATGCAGGCTTGTTGATGAAGTCCTAAAAAACTTCGACCATATGGATGCCAACTGGTTCAACAGTGTGCATCCATTTGTAGCGAGTTCACATCAATTTTCATTGTCGACTTATCAGCGAACTTGAGCCTTCCTTCTTTGAGTTCTTCTTGAACAAGATCCCTGAAAAGAAAACATTGTGAGGTTTTATGACCCAGAAAATTGTGATATTTACAAAAACCTCTTTTCTTTCTTTGTTCTAAAGGAGGCATTTTTGCCCCAGAGGGCACTATCATTTGGCCATCTTTGACTAATAAATCAAATATTTTGTCACATTTAGTGATGTCGAAACTATATGTTTTCTTTGGGAATCTGTCACGATTCCTTTCGGACTCAACAAGATTCTTCCCTTTTGAGGGCACTAGCAATTTGCAAGAGTATGGCGGCCCTTGTTTTAATTCTGCTAAGTCTATTTTGCCTTCTTCGACATCTATAGGATCACTAGATGTCTCTGTGTTTAGGAAAAAATTTGGTGTTTTTGAGTTTGAGTGAGTTCTAAGCCCAAGCCAAACGTGTTATGCCTTGTACCAAGTTTGCAAATATGTATAGAAGTGATCCAAAGTCAGCTCTTACTAACTGTGTAAGCTTTGGACCTTTTTGCAACTTTTCTTGCATTTGAAGTAAAGTGACAAGACCCATGCTTCACATGCTTGTACCAGCTTGGTTAGGGTTGGTAAGAGTTTGTACAACTTGCTCGAGGCCTATAGAGTTTGTATGCATCAAAGGGACAGGTTCAATGCTCAAGATTGACAAAGTTGCAAAAGTTGCCCTTTATGAAAATGACAATGTGATCTTTTTCCTTAAAATGGAAATGCATCTTGTGTAAAGCTTCAAAAGCAAAGATAAAGGCTTTAGCTTATGAGTATTCATTTAATTATGGAGTGTATAACAAGCTTAGGCCCTGTAAAGCAAGATATAACCAGCTATATTTGATTTGCAACTTGATGCTATGTGAAAATGGCTTGAACAAAAGTGAGAAAATGCCAACTTCCCTTCTTCGATTCTCCCTACTCAAAAACAATCTTG